CCCCCCCCCCCCCACCCCCATGCTTCTTCAATATAGGCACCAGACTACTTGCTGCATCATTATATTTTACTTTGTTTTTTATTTATAATTTTTCCGCATGCTGATAATTTATGATATAACTGATAAATGATGCCAGTTTTGCAAAACATGATATCTTAAAACAAATAGATAAATTATTATTTAGCCAAGGCCATTTACATGGTTGAATGATCAATTTCTATGCTATCAATTATCGTATTCCAAAATGATCACTAGTTCCTTGTCTTTGACGTGTTCTTTTTCCTGTGAATTAAACTTCTGATGCGAACCTCATTGAAATTGTTAATGCAGCTTCTATCGATGTCAGTTTGATTCTGCGAACGGAGGAGAGATGACCCAACTTGAACATTACAACTTCCTAAAGCCAGAAGAGACATTCTAGTTTAGTATGGATGCATCATGTATATATATATTCAGTGGCACTTTCTGTGAATACTATTTGAATTTTCTGTTTACCATGTTATTTATTTTTAACGTTTAAACTGTAAATATGAGTATTGCTAAATCCACTAATGCTGTCATATTTACTCTGTTGGCTTGTATATATTATAAATCTGAATGAATTGTCGGCAGCATTCACGCTTGAAGGTGGTAACTATTTTGGAAAGAACAGTAGATTTGCTATGCTAATTATTTGTGTTGAATTCGTTCAGATACGTTCCACGTTTTTTCACACATTGGTTCTTTACTTATGGATCATTAGATTAGTAACAGCTCTCGGTAAATTTCAATATGTTCGAATTGGCGTTCAATTATTTTGCGAAAAGCATTCCCTTTGATCGTGTGGATAAGAAAGGGGGAATGAAAATAGAAAACAAAATCACCCTCCATCGCTGGATAAACTCGTGCCAAACTATTTCGTGATACAGTATTTATCTGTGCGTTTTTAGATTTTAATATTTAACATTTAATTAGTATATATTTTTTCTATTATACATAGAGGTGGGTATGTGATTGGTTCTGCCGTTTAAGGTCCGGTCCATGGAACCTGCTTTTTAATGTATATATGTTCGCTTTGTGAAATGAAATGAATTAAAAAATTTGTCAGCCCGCAAACTCGCAAACAGAAAATTTATAATTTTTTCTTTGAAAAAAATCTGTCTAAGAGTTTTTTTTTTCTTTTTTAAGCTATTAAAATATGATATTGAAAAATAATACCTAAGAAAAAATAAATATAAAAACAAAATATTTTAAATATTCAAAGTCTTAATATATCAATATTTGTTCATTCTAACAAAAATATTAAAATTTTAATATTTTAAAATTTAAAAGTCAAAGTATACCATCTAAACACTAAAATTTATATATTTCTAAATATATAAATTTTATTTTAGGTTTTAATAAATAATATGAATTATTTTATAATATTTTTTAAAATTGAAATATATACGGTTAAAAAATAATTATAAAAATAAGGATAAAAAAAATTGTAGTTTGAGATGATCAAGATGTGTTTCTTAGCAATGGGTACCGTGTGGAATTCATTTTCTAAAAGTAGATGGGTTGTTTTGAGTATTTAGTGAAGAATTAAGGACTAATCTTATCTTTTGAGAAAGGGATCTATTTAAAAGATTAATTTCTTTCGATAAATATTTTTATAGATATTAATAAAAAATTAAACTTTTAATTACATATTTAAAGAATAAAATTATTTTACTAATTATAGTATATTTTGCTAGTGTCTAAGATATTTGATTAAAAGAATGGGAAGAGTTAAAGATTTTTTTCTCTTTCTAATTGACGATTTTAGTGTATAATATATGGGTGTGTTTGTCATAATTGTAAAAAAATAAATTATTTTAATAATTAATTATATATACAATGGACTATAATAGAAATTAGTTTATATTTAGATTTGTTAAAAAATAAATTTAATAAAATTAACTTTGTTTGACTAAAAAGAATTTTTATATATTAATAAATTAAGAAAATGTTAATCATTAACAAAGTCGATGAATATTCTATACTAATAATATAGTTAAAGAATAAAGAATATGTTAAAAAGAAAAAAGTTTTCCAAAATAATCAAACATATGAAGATATCATACAATTTATTTTTTTAAAAAAACTTTTTATTAATTTCATCTATTTTTTAAAACATACAACTTATTGACAACTTTTTTTTTTTCCATAAAAACAGTTGAAATGGAGAAATTATTTTTTGTCACAAACATACTCTAATGTTAGGTTTTTAAGAAAACAACCACTTTCTTTTTGTGTTGATTCTTTATTCAGAAACTTTTTCCAACTCAATAAAATTTTGTTTTAATGTTTTCATAGTTTTAAAAAATACTTAAACAACGAGTTATACTTCTGAAAATAATTTTTTAAAACCTTGACTTAAACAAATTTTAATTATTAGCTTTTTAAAATATTAAATGACCTAAAGAAAAACAAACTAAATATATGGATGCCTAACTAATAATCATACTCTTCTCAAATATACGTATAGTTGCTAAAACAGACTAAATACATATTAAACTGTGTCATGAAAATGGTAGTAATTTGTAAGAAATGAGGAAAAAAGATGTAGTGTGCACATTCCATTTATGGATGCAGAAGCAAACATTGAAATTAAGAGAATCTCAAGCACCTCTTGGTTTTGTCTTATCCAACAGAACATCGATTGAATCAGGGAAAGAAGTGATGATTTTAATCTGAATTTTCCTCAACTCAACGGCAAACTCCAATGCCTGGTTCATGGTTGCTCGAGCACCCGTTACAGCCTCAAGGAGCTCTGTATTTGTCAAGTAAGAGGAACATATTTGGCTCAAAATTCTGTCATGTCTTTCTTGGAATCTCACTACTCTTTCTTCTGCCACTTCCAAAGCCTCGCTAACAATTTTCAGTTTTTGTGCAGCCACTTGTTTCCTCTGCCATTTCTTTATGTTGGGCACACAAAATAAGAACGACGTGGAGAAGCCTACTATGGCGAAAACGATGTTGCTTAAGTCCATGAATCATGTTCATTCATGTTTCTAACATGTCTTACACTATATATGATATTGACAATGGAAACCCTTGTTTGTACTTTGCTTCGCTTTTGGGTTACCACGTTACTTGTGCTTCAATCAATTATCTGTTCTCTTTCTTTTTATTCGTGGGAAAATACATATCCAAGTGCCCCTTATCTTGCCATCTTTTACCCTGTTGAAAATTTTTCTTTAGTTAAAGTAAAAATTTTAATATTAAGAAATATATTTTTAAAAAAAATTATCTTTATCAATTTTCCTCTAATTCAAATATTAAAATTTTCTCTCTTTTGTTTCCCCTCATTCATTCACACAGTAGGTGTTGATCAAACTAGTTTTTTTAAGGGTATCAAGTTAGAGGCATTTACAATTTTGCATAACTATATCCATTAAATAAATTCTAAATGAATTGGAACAAAATATATAATGAATCATGAAATCATTAAAAATCTATCCATTTGATTTTTTTTAAATTAATAATTATATTTATTTTGCTTTTTCCTTTAAAATACAGTACTCAATAGGAGTTAAATAAAATGCATGACAGCAACATTTTGCTATCCATTCTATTTTGGCATACATGGAAATTATTATTACTATAAATTAATAATTTATTATGGTTTCATTAAAAAACCACTTTTATTAGCATTACTAATCTAAGTGACACGACTTTTTTTTGACAGGTAAATGATACCAGACTTAAATTCCTTAAAAAATGTCTTAGGTTCAAGTTTCAAAAAAATAAAAAATAAAAAGTAATTAAAAATAATCAATGAAATCTTTTCGACAAAGTCTGATCATTAAAAAAAACAGTGAATATTCTATACAAGTAATAACATGGAATTCACACTCAAGTCAGAACAAAATGAGATGCAAACTCAAGAATATCATTAATAAAACAAAAATAACCCATCATTAAGTAACAAAAAAATAATCATTTTCCTTGTTAAAATATTATGTCAATAATTGTAAACAACTTTGTAAAATGAAGTATTCCAAAATTGTAAAACTGAATTCACAACCCATTATCAAAGGCAGCGTAGGAGGGTATCATGATTAGTTTCAAACCCACACGAGAACAGCTGAACAAAAAACTGCTGCATGGAGAATAAAAACGTATCTTTGCTATTCATGTGATTTACCTTTGTTTTAAGTGGATTAACCGCTATACATTCTTCAAGATATACACGAAACAAGAAAAAAAAAAAAACAATGATTTAAAATGAAAAGCAATTAATGTTTGATTGTGACTTAACAACTAATGAAAAAATTGAGATGATCACAGACGAATGAATTCCCTTCCAGGTGCCAATGAGTAAGTATGTTTGAAAACTTATTTGTAACGAGACAAACTGTAAACTAAAAATACTGTAAATCGTATGTTTTAAAAGCTAGATAAAATATCACTTAAATTTTGTGAGTTTTGCTACTAGTCTACCACGAGAAGTCCTCAAATCAGATTGCCATTTCTTACCTTTTCTCCTTCGTTGCCTTTTGTTTTTGGGACTTGGTAGCATCTTTGGCTTTTTATTGAGATTCATTTTTTCCAAGCGCTGGCGGCGGATCTCAGGATCAGCCCAACCCCTTCCCCATTCCGAGAATGAGGAAAATGGTTTGTTACTTTTCCTTGTAAGCAACATATCTGCCTCAGGGTAGACATAGAAATCTTGCTCACTCATAGACTTCACAAATTCCATCCCCAATTCTGTTGGCTCCGGGTATTTTACCTGAACATGGATCTGCAATTGTATGGAGAAAACTTAATCAAATCACAAAGAATTACCAATGACACTATACTTTTGCTTGGAGTTTAGGACTTGGAAGAATGTATTAAAGTGCATGGCAGTGCTAGAGTGACACATTTCCGCTTTCATGCTGAATGCAGAAAATATCATTCTGACCAATCCTCAAAATTCAAAAGGCCTTAAAAAGAGTTTTCCTTGTGATGTTTTTTAGATCATTATGTTTTAATACAATGAGAGCAACACACTCTTTTAACACTTTCTATTAATGAGTTAAATTTATATGGATCTCATAATAATAGGTAACACTTTCTATTAATGAATTAAATTAATATGAATGTCATAATAATAGGAAGTGTGTTGGGTAGTGTCCAGAAATATGATATTAGCATTTTTGTATTTAAAATCACCTTCTCGAAGGATCACTCCTCAATTGTATGCATCATTTATTTATTTTTAGATGTAACAAATCCAGATATTTCTACCATGAAATTTATGAGCACAATTTGATAATTATAAATATATAAAGTTCTTTTTTATTAGTACTATTAATAAAGACATCTTTCATGTAAACATTTTGATTAGACTATTTTGTCTTTTCAACTATAAATGACCACTTTGTGTATCTTAACTTTCGTTTACTCTATCATTTTTTTTTAATTTTTTATTTAAATAAAATACATAAGGACACGACCTCATTTCCACTATTATATATAAAAGCTATAAGGATAGGTTACTTCTAAGTAAAGCAATTAATTATACCTTGTCATCTCCTTCCCTTATGAATCCTTTAATTTCCAATAATCGAGCAAGACCTCTCCACCATAATATATCAGTGGTTAAAAACTTTTGATACTGTATACAGACATTCAAGTATGAAAATAAAACTGGTTACATAGATTGGCAACAAGACCTCTCCAACGTAACAAACAATAAGAAATGACAATTATAACTAGATTCACCTGCTGCCTTATTTTTACAACTAACACCTTAAGGTTTGGCCTCTCTCTTAGTCCTCTATGTTTGGAGCCAGAATATATATCATCTTCATATGAGCAATCCAAGGGATCATTACATACCTGAAAAAATAACAATGTCACTTCATTTTCTTTCCTCTTACAGACCAAAGAAAGTAATCTTTCCACAAAACTTGAGCTCTTAAACTAAAGATCTAGGAACTCCACAAAACAAAGCACTTTTTTTAATCAATTTATCATATTGAAACTTAACGTAGATAAATAGACACACAAAATACACATCAAGTAGCAAGAGGTACATAAGTATGAAAAATATCCTGTGAAAATCCAAGAATCAATATTTTGATATAAATTCACATGTAAGAGTAACACAGAGTTAATCGATAGTGTAGTTGATATAAAATTGAAACTATACAACTTACATTATGGGCACCTACAGTTTGTAGTAAAATACAGGCCTCTTCTTTTAGATTCAGCCGTTGTGGCGGACCATTGGTGCACACGTCACATCTGCATGAAAGGGGGTTCATAAGGAAAGCGACAATATGAAGGCTACATGCATTAATAAATGACTCAAACAAATTAGCTCGCTACCAGTAAAAACAGTCACGTTGCCACAAGATAACCCCTTAATTACAAAATGAAGCAAATATGTTAATGCAATAATCAAGATAGGTAACTCAATACAAGCTATTATATTTTAAAATATCTTTTCACTTAAGTGAATGCTGAAACATAATAAAACTGCAAGGCATTGAGACAGAACTTCACATACAAGAGACATTTCTGATGACTGAAATCCTCTCCAAAGTATTCAACTAATGTCTTTGCTCGACAGCATGAAGTATTCATTACATATCTGAAAATATACATTAAGATTCCGTGCTAAATAAAACAGACAAAAGACAAAGATGTATTTATCAAAGCAAACCTGAAACAATCAGACAACATGATATATGCCTGTTTCATCTGTTCTTCACTTTTCCGACTAGGCAAAAGTGACGGCTTGCTTGCTAGGTTTGCATACAGAACTGGTTGTTGGGAAAATGCAAATGGTGCCAAAAAAAAAAAAGAACAATAAGCAACATACTAATGTGAATTAAGGGAGTAATATAAGTTTTAAAATCTAACCAAAAAGCTGAGAGAAGAACAAAGGAAAAGTGCATCACAAGGTAAAAATTATATTCTAGTATAGTTAAACTTACTGCAATCTGCTAATTTCCCATCTCGACCAGCCCGTCCAGCTTCTTGGTAGTAGGCTTCTAAACTCTGATCAATATACATATCCAATTATTTGAGATTTCGTCAACTCTATAATTAATAATGGCAGGATATATGTATTTGAAAAACAAACCTGTGGCCAACCATAGTGAATGATTCTTCTGACATTTGATTTGTCAATACCCATTCCAAAAGCTATTGTAGCAACAATAACCTGAATGATATAACACACATGCATACAGCAAACATGTTATTTGGAAAAACTTTTTATGGTTCCAGAATGTAGGAAATGATTGAAATTATGTAGTAAACAAAAACGACATAGGAATAAACAAGGGTAAAAACAATTCAGATCCATGTCTCGATATCACCAAACTTTCACAAAATTCAGTTCTTCATTTTTTTGGGGGCTTGATTATGTAAAGACTTAAGCAGTAGAAAACAATAAATTACAAAGAAACACCAAACTTAGATGTATGATAAGCATGGCAGGGCTTCAAACAGCCAAAGCCATCAAAGTCAGATAACATAGGGGAAGGGGGAATGAAGAGATTTGGTATGCAAAGTTGCAAACACGTGAAACTCAGAAAGCCCATCAAAATCAGATAAAAAGTTCGATTCATTTATATAGTAGTTATGTGAATAGCACACCGCATATATAAGAAGATGCAATGATATCATACCATAACTGATAACAGGCCATCTCAATTCAAATAAAACACTTTAGCCCCTCTTCAAACCCCCCTCCCGTGGAACATCTACAATATTTAGTTCAAGCTCCAGAAACATACCTCTAAAGTATTTTCATGAAACCCTTTATGAACCCTTCTTAGATTCAATTTGGGAAGCTGGAAAAAGAGATTGTGCTCATAAATTAGTTTAAAACCTAACAAACAACATAAATCAAATGGTGAGTGGGAAGAATGTGCAACAAACATTTCTTCAATAATTATCAAGCTTGGTTTGATGAAATCCAAAATAAAGCATAACAGGATAGTTTGAAATTAAAACAGAAGAGAAAACGACAAATAAATTTTAAAATTCTGCTTCCTAGTAATTCATGATGTCTTAGAATTGAAGATTCTCTTGTCAATTAACATGATCAACCTGATAAATTCTAATTCACTACCATCTAACCAAACAAGATATAGAGTATAATATATAACCCATACCCCTGCATTATAAGCAGCAGCCTTCACACCAAACATGCATAGATACTTTGCAATTCTCGAAGTTTCTTTTCTGGTGGATACATATATGATTGCTGGTCCATGTTCCAAAGGCTCTTTAAGAAATTTAAGTCCTTCTGGTTTCTTAGGTGGATCAATTGCCTCGGGTAATTCCAATCCCATGTGAGGAGGCTTTTCACCATGGATAACTGCATTTATAAAATATAACAATACATACAATTAGGAATTATGCATGTCAATGTGATTGATTTTCTTAATTATTTGCACCAAAATTGCATTCAATTTCTTAACTAAATTATTTATGATAAAGTCAGTAATAGAAGTAAAATTTTTACCATGCGATTTATCCACATTTTGAACAACATCCATATCATTTTCCAAAAACTCAACTGACAATTCTCTTCCCATTAAAAAATCATCTTTGTAAGCATAATCATCTTGGTTGTCATCCACATCATCAGGAGAAACACTGTCTGTATCAGAGCTACTACAAGCATCGGAGCCATGAGAAACATAATCTGAATCATCTGACATGAAAGCCTTTTCATTTCCATCAATATTTTGCTTTCTACCATATACTTCAATCAATTCACAAAAGTCTTTTGCATAAGAAGCCTTTGATGTTCGACTATCCTTTACCTGTATGAAGCCACAATAAATCTGAAGTGTAACAAGATTGTATATTCAGAGATGAATGTACAAGTTATAATTAACAAACTCACCATGAAGCGTAAATTAGATCGAAAAAACGATGTAAGAACAACATTCGTTTCTTTTGACATGCGTAGTGATTTTAAAATGTCTTCTTGAACTCTTTTTGTAGCCGTAGCTGTCAAGGCCATCAGAGGTATATCAAATTTCAGGGATTTTAGCTTACTAGCACTGAAATTTTCCCGCAGCACAGACAGTCGGCTAAAACAAAAAAACATTTCAAAACAGGTCATACTTATGACACTCAGTAGACTAAAAACATTAAATAAATTGTGAAGTGTGCACCAAACAAAAAACAAATGAAATATGCATGATAACCAATCAAAATAACCAATAACTGATCTAACTTTCTTCAATATGCAAATCACAAGTTACATTTTCAATCATTTAAGATGTTCTAAGTAAAGTCATCAATCCAGTTCATCTGAGCAAGCCATGAACAATAAGGAAACACACGGGATAAAAAACAGACCTGTAGTCCGGACGGAAATCATGACCCCATTTAGAAACACAATGTACCTCGTCAATTGCAAATAAAGCAATACCGCGACTTTCTGCAAGCTTTTGCAGTGGCTGAATCAATCTACAAAACGATGGACTTCAAGATCAACTTTTATTCATTGAAACTGGTCAGGCAGATCAAGGCTCCAAACCATACCTCAACAGTGTCTCTGGGCAGACATAAACTATATTATACAAGCCTCCCATTGCTTTCTTTTCAACAGTATTATCAAGTTGCCCCGAGCCAAGAAAGCAAGCACTGATTCCATGTTTTGTTAGCTTTAAACACTGGTCGTGCATGAGGCTTATTAAGGGCGAAATCACAACCACGACTTTCCCGGACAACAATGCAGGAATCTGAAAGCATAGAGACTTGCCTGTGCCAAAAACATAATCATAAATAAATGCACAAAAACTACAGTAACTAGTAAGTAAGGATAAGGATCTCTTTACTTTTAGTGTAGCAAGTTAAGAAGTAAAAATGAAATAAATTTCTTTATAAACTAAAATTAATTTATGCATAAGTCATATTATAAAAGTTATTTCGTATTAACTTCTTTAAAATCTTATTTGAATTCATGCATCAGTTAGTTTTAGTTTATAGGACAGTTTATTTTCATTTTTATTTTCTATTTTTCTCTTTTAAAATGATTCAAGAAAAAATTATCCAAACATGTCATAAGGCGCAAATATTGAATAATTAAAGTACAAAACCAGATCCTGTTGCAGCGAGGACAAGACAGTCTTTATGACCAACCCAGGAAGAGAGGGCTTCCTTCTGAAAACTCTTCAAGGATGAAAACCCAAAATGCTTTTGCATCAAGTTGCTAACTTTCCGCTCCCAATCTGATGCAACATCCGAATCTTGAACTTGAAATGGCTCTGAAAGCACAAATGGAATGGGATCAGGGAAATCCTCCGTGTGTTCTTGGACATCATTGGAGTGGAAATGGTCGAATATCTTGGACTGCCGAACTAGACGACACGTGCGCAAAGGTTGTCTTCTGAGAGGGTTCTTGTTGTGTTCTTGCAATTTGGGGGTTTTGAGGATGTGCTCCACAACCCTAGGAACAGAGAGACCCACTTCTTTTATGGCTTCGACGATATTTGAATACTCAAAACCCATTTCAATCATTTCTGCAATCACTTGGTCCGAACATGTGTTGTTGCCCTCCATTGCATTTCTTTCTATAAATTAAAATTAAGAAAGAAAGATCCCCTTTTGCTTTCGAGAATGGGGGAAAAAGAAAAATCAAAAGCAAAATAGAATTAAGAAAGTAAGATCTCCTTCCGCAGTGTTTGTTTTCGGAACAAATTTAAAGGGTTCACGAAGAGAACATCGCTCAATCCCGCCAAATCTTTTTATAATTAAAAATTAATAAACGATTTATTTTAATAAATTTGATGAAGAAATATTTAATTAATTATATAAATAAATATCAATAACATCAATAAATATATAATACAGTAATATTAAGAATAAGTTAAAAATAATATTAAAAATCATAATATTTAATACATATACTTTTTTCATTAATTTAAAATATTGTTTATTTTAATTATTTATTTAATAGATTATTAACATTTTGATAAAACATTCAATTTTATTTTTAAATTTTCAGAAATTGAAATTGATTTCATTCATTTTAATGAATATATTTATTATAAAATATGATCATTAAATTAAAAAATAAAACTACTTTTTATCGTATACTAATACTTTTTGTTTATTTTAAAACAAAAAATGGTGGGAAAAAAGGGTAATTTTTTTTTTCCATTTTAAAGCACATTAATTAAATTAAAGATATAATTTTTTTTATCAATTAAACCAAATATATTAAATAACATAAATTTGTTATTCAATAACAATTTTGACATTATCATAATCAAAATTAACATTTAAAATTCATAAATAATTTTTATAATTATTATATTTAAATGTATAAAATAAATAAAACATAATTAAAAATATAATATAAATCAAATATTCAACTTCACAAAATGATTTCTACTCTTTCTACAATAACACAGGTTTTCTCATGCATAAATAAATTTTATTTATTTTTTTATCGTAAATACAATACATATATCAACAAATTAAACAAAATTTAAAATTTATCAAACTTAACCTGAATATTATATTTGTTGGTAAACTATTAAAAAACTAATATAATAAAATTATTAAAATTATATTTATCAAATAAGTGTTGCATTAGGTCAACGTAACTTTTCCAAATAGTACGCCTATAATAATATTATTGAATATAACATATAACGTTCTAACATATTAGTAAAACATCAAATATTAAATAAATTAATATTTTATAATTTAACAAAATAAATAAATCAATACTTTAAATCAATACTTTAATGTCATCCTTTTGTAAGATATATATGTCCAATAATATCTAAAACAAAATAAGTGACAAAAATTCTAATTTAAAATAAACAATATAAATATTTTTAACAAATATAATATAAAAGATAAATGATTTTAAGAAATGTAATATGAAATCAACTAACCAATGAAGATATTTTCTTCGTTTAAATCCAAAATATCTTTAAAAAATATAATTTAAAAGCAATGTTGCTTTAATTTTTATTTTATTTTGAGTTACTAACACGTTTTTAAATGAGATATAAAATCCTTTTCAGATAATTGATCAAACTTGTTATCAAACTTAGATTAATGATTTCTCAGCAGAGGCTTGAATTATGTTTTCTTGTATATGTAAAAAACAGAATAAAATTTCTACAACCCAAAGTATTGAGCCGTTGTCATGTTATCAAACTTAGATTAATGATTTCTCAGCAGAGGCTTGAATTATGTTTTCTTGAACAATGTTATTGCATATTAGAGTACGAATCAAATAGAAAATGAAACAAAGGAGTAAATAGTAAAGTTTCCTGAACATGTGTAAAAACATTGTTCTCTTACCGTCCAATGTATGCATCAAACCGATGATAGGTGAGGAAACTCCCCCACTTTTTAAGAAAGTTGAAATTTTAAAAAATATTATTTTATTTACAAACATAATAACATTTTAAGAAAATAAAAAACATAAAAAAAACATGTTAAAATATAATGATTAATGTGTTACAAATATACATAATATATGATATGACTAAATATGTTATTAATTTGTAAATAATTAAAGAAAACTATCATATTATTTATCAAAAGAAGAATGTTATCAATTATGACTAAATTATTTATATAAAAATCTAAATGTTTTTTCAATTTAACAAAAATCATAAATCGTAATGGGTTTTACATCTTCTTAAGGTTTTTCATTTTCAATAAATTTCAATATATAATAAAGAGTACAAGAAAGAAATTGTCAAAGTACTCACCTTATGAAAAAATGTAAAACTTAAGATTGCCCCACACAAGAGGAGGAAATCATTGTCCATATTTCTTAATTAGAATGAGTCCGAACTCAATTCATATTGTTTGTTCCTTTGTTATTTTTAGACTAATACATTAATTACAAATTTTTAAAGAACATAAACTCTAATTGATTAGAAAAAAATTTCAATATTAATTAAGAGAAAAATAGTATAGACATAGACTCTAATTAGTTAGAAGATATATAAGTATTAATTAGATAACCAAAGAGAAGTTTTAAAAAATATATATATATAAAAAAAAGGATAAATTTATTTTTATCAACTAAATTCACAACTTCTTTTTTTTAATCTTGATAAATTAGATAATAGGGACACCTTCTAAGATACACTTTAGTAATAGGCATTTATTCCAAACAAATTTATGTGTTTATTTGTTATCTAGATTAGAGAAATACTAAAGAGTGAATTTTGACATTAACGTTGCAAGATTTTCGGCTCAGATTCTCATATACATGTATATTGTGTAAATAATGAGCATTAAAAATAAGTATCACATTTGCTCAATAAAATAAAAAAAAAAGAAATAAGCATACTAGTGGAGTTGTCTAATTAGGCCCATCCATAATGCATACATCAAACCTCACATTTAGGGATGGCAAAACGGGCCGGCCCGGCCTGTTTTGGCCCAGCCCGCCATTGGCCAGACAAAAACGGGTTGGCCCGACCTGGCCCGCCAATGTAAAACGGGCTGGAGATGTTGGCCCGCCCCGCCTAAGGACGGACTGGCGGATTGGCGGGTCAGCCCGCATACAAAAAAAATTAAAAAAAGGAAAAATATATATATATATTTTATGTTCAAATAAAAAAAATTGCTATAAATAAATATAACCATATGAAATTAAAAATGCATACATATTTTACATAATATATGTTGAACAAAAGCAAATTACAAACTTAAAACAAAATCAAATAGAAATTACTCCACTTACACCAAAATCAAAACTAAATTATAAACTTACAAATTACTTATAAACTAAATTTTTTGATAGTCCACAAAAAAGTTCAAATACAATTAATTAACTTTAAATTTTTATTTTAAGAATATTAGAAGCTCTCTTGAAAGAATAAGATAATGAAAAAAAAGAGTAGTTAGTCATCCAAATATATAGCAAGTAATTCATACAATGACTAATAGTAACCATCCTATAATAACAATCATGTATTAAGTCCTAGAAAATCACTAAATGTTCTTAATATACATACATAATTGACAAAGAGGCACACCCACATATAATGCACTTATGCTCACATAATAGCATATAATACACACATAATAGATATCAAAGTCAATGACAACCATTAAACATGAACACACATAGTAAACATCAACACACATGATAGACATAGAGACACCCAAGGGACACAGTGATGGAATCATGTCTAGGAAGGCAAGAGGTAACATCTTGAAGGAACCAAGAGGAATGGGCTAGACATTAAGTTTTGGGCCAGTCAAGGCCCAATGGGCTCGATGGGCTTGGAAGATAAAACTTATTGAACAATTCCACTCAGCCTTTGCACCGTTGCAAGATAATTATTCTCTTTTTGATTCATTTTGTGCAGATATAGCTAACCCAGAATTTAGCTAACAATACCTTAATACACCTCATTTTTTGTGAGGTACTGAGCTAGAGAATTAAGGATAGAAGACCCATAGGATTGGAAATCTAAGGAGCTAAGAAGTAGAGAAGAGTGACTGCGCCGGGCGCAAGATTACCCGCGCCAGGCTTATGCAAAACAGAGTGTCTCACCTCTGTAAGATTACCTGCGCCGGGCGCGAGACTACCCTCGCCAGGCGTGATCGAGACAGAGAGTATCTCAAACTCTCTGGAAGGCATTGCGCTGGGCGTAAAAGGAATTACGTCGAGCATGTCCTGAGGCAGAGAGTACTTGACCCTCCTGGAAGGCCCTGTGCCGGGCGCAAAGACTAATGCACTGGGCGTGAAACCCTGATCTGACTCTCCAAGCTCGTATTTGAAGAAATCTTCGAGGATTTTCTCCTCATTCACACATTGGACGCGTTTTAGGAGTTGAGGAAGGGATTCCTAGAGCTTGGGACCGTTCGTGTGTGGGTCTTTCCTTCGGTTCTTCATTCTCTCTTCCATTTCTATTTTTGCTTTCCCCTCATTGTTTTGAGTGGTTCTACCCATCATTTTGTGGGGTTAGATGTAACCAATGAATTCCATTGTAATCCTTACGTTTTAATGATATATTTACATGTTGTTTCACTCATTGTTGTGTATGTTTCTATTCTTAATGCTTGCCTTGGATTGATCCTCCTTTGCATGATATAGGTTCCATTGGGTATTAGAAAATAACCTTTGAAACTAGCTCTGAAACAAATGCCTAGTGGGAAATGTATCTAGGAATGGAGCTTGACCCATTAGTAGTCTTAAATCCTAACCCGTAATGCGGGTGTAAGTATTGGATATTCAAGGAATTGATATTCATTATCCGTACCTAGGCTCTTGCTCTAAGGGATTAGGTTTGAGTAAACTTATGGGTTGACTAAGCAATGGATGTAACAAGAGATTAAGGATTCATTAGTGTGACGTTTGGTGATATCTGACCTCACAATCTCACAAAATCATAATACCATTTCTACCCTTTTTCCACACACAAACAAATACTTTTATAGTTTAACATTCCAGTAGTCATGACCTTTAATTCACATTCGCATGACAAACTACAAAATTAGAATTATTCTTTAGTCACGAATAGTCAATAAATGCTTATTTTACATACTAATCCCTGTGGATACGATAATTTACTACTTGAACGGCCGGTATACTTGCCGTGTTTGAGACCGTTGATAGATTTGAAGTGATTTACAATGATAACAAAAATAGTTTCAACGAAAATCTCAACAATATGTGAGTAAGGTCGAGATGTACACGTATAAAGCAACCAATTGAGTGAAGTACCGGATCGGGAACTTAGTCGATAACATAATATTGGAAGATCGTGATATTTGAAGGGTGGTCAGGGAGTTAATCTCATAAATAACTTAGTATTGTAAGTTAATAACGTGATAAATCCATATCTAAATTATTCTACCTTAATATAATACCATATTCCCTAATTTAATTATTCAATAATAATAACTATGCTAATCTCATTAGTCAATTGTTTATGAATACTACGATCTTAAATCCAATTTATGTAGGTATTTATTTGGGTATTTATTTGATTAACTAATTTTATATTATAATTTTATAATATAAATGTGGATGGAAATTTTAATTCATATAATAACTAGTGTAAGAAACATTTTGTATTTATGTATATTTTATTTAAAAGATAATAAACGGTCAAAATATGAAGATTGGAGCAGTTTTAAGTACAGTTATTAAATAAATTAAAGATTAAAAAGTCTTATACAAATGTGTAATACTAAAAAAAATATATTATTTTTTTAATTAATGTTATAGATACCTTGTGATCGAAGTTAACTATATAAATTATATTTATAATTTATATAAAGAAATTTTTTTACACGTATAAATTATATATTTTTTACAGCAACATATAAATTATAGTTTAGAGAAAATGAATAGATATTTTATTGATATTCATAAGTGTTTTTACGTGGGAAGTGGTCTTGGTAGGAAAAGAATGTGAGGAAATGGTTGTTAAATATGCGTGTGGATGAACTAAATGGAGGTAGCATCCGTGTGATTAAGAGAGGTGGCCAAAGTTTGA